TATGTCTCCCACACCAGCCTGCCAGTCCCACTCGGCTCTGGCACCCTTCTCCATCCTGAACACAAACACGTAACTGACATATAACACGTATCTTCCTCGCCCATCTTGAGCATAACAAGTTTCGTAAAATAAAGCTACAAGTTTGCAGAGATTAATTTGCCACATGGAACTTAAAATAAAGGGTTATTTTCCTTCTAGGTATTACGAGTAGTTTTTGTATGTTCAAAAGGGCTTCCCTTCTCAAAGGTGATAGCTCCTCTCCTGGTCCACAGAAATCCATATACCCCTGAAACAGCCTGTCTTCCACCTCTGAATCCACCTCCCCTGTCCTATGTCTTCACAGAAAATGCACTAATTTGCCATTCAAAAATTCCTCATACCAAAATTGTATCTCCCTGATGCCATCCTGCTAGTCCTGTAATTGGCACTCCCACTCCCTTGCTTCCAGCAGTCTGTCCTGCCCACACATCCCAGATCACCGCTTCACAGAATCCTTTCCATCCAGGGGTACCGCTAGACCTCCTGTGCCCATACCATGCCCCAAACCCCAGGCCTGACTCAATTTAAGCCCCTGTCCTGTGGCACAGCTTAGAGAATCTGCCCACCACAGGCAGGATGACAGCCAGTATCTGTAGGAGATAGTGGTTTCTATGAAAATCTGTGATTAATTTGAAGCTCTGATCTATAAGTTAGCATTATGATTGAGCCCAGGTTTAGAGTGTAGGATATACGGACAGAAGGCTTGGACTATAAGGGTGGACTCTAGGATCCTGTTTTAAATCAAGCTTTTACATCTCTGCCATCTGCAACACTAGTGCTGCCTAACCCAAATCGGTACTACAGGTGCAGTGCCAAAGAACAAACCAAAGTAACCTACTATCTTCAAATAGCACGAGCCATCATCCTAAGCAAGAAGCTTTATACCAAGTTTTTAGTTCTGCTCCTAGACACAACTTCAAATCTATTCACTTAAGGCAGAATTACTATTAGAGCTCCTAAATACCACCAGACCTTTCCACTCCTAGGCCTTGTTCTAGACCTGCCAGCTTTACCAGATTTGGAAACCAACTGAAGTCTAAATCAGCTGCTTTCTGAACCCCCATGGTTAACTCATCGCCCACCTCTAATCTTTCCCCCTGATCATTTACCCTTTACAACCCTTAGAGCTCATAGAGCTGCAGCTCTTAGAAAATCAACCCTCAAAACCAAGCCAGCACATCTGGCAGAATCCAGCAATCATCCATGCTCATTCTAAAATAGCCCCCTCTAGAGATACCACAGGCCAAGGACTCCAATCCATTCAAGAACATGATGTTAACATGATATCAGCCTAAAATCAACGTGTCGTGGCTGCAACCTGCCAATAAACCAAGTTCACATGATTCTGCATTCCTGTGCCCCAGTCCGAACTACACTTATTATAGTTTTATAGCTATTATATGACCTCAAAATAAAATAAGAGTACATCTGCCCTCAACATTAGTTTCTCTCTTCTTCCCCTTGGTTTTAGCATTTGGGGGGCACTCACCTTGTATGTCCAGGTAAGTTTCCAATGCTACCTCTCTCATTTTGATCCCGAACACCAACAGATATTCAAAGACAACCTTCAGGAACTAGAAGAGTAGCAGAAATGGTTACATTTGCTTCCACCCTCTCCCCCACCAAACTACTTTTAAAATCCAGACTCTTATTGGTATTATCAAATTAGAGTCACTGTTGTGTTATCTGATCCCTACTTTTTTTACCCCCTAGTATTGTCAGAAAGGATTTATTTTCCCTCAGTAGAATCTAAATTTAGTTTTTTAAAGAAACTTATACCCGTCTATAAGGGCAGATCATCTGCCTTCTTTCAGCACTTGAAGTTAACTGCCAGTCAAGTCACCTTCAGCTTCCTTTGCAGTCAACGTAAATAATTAGGCACCTTGGGAGGCTGATTCAACTCGTTCTAAGATATTTATCTAACATGAGGCATATGAATAGCCCTCTGAGGCTGCATATTTCTTTTCATTGGATATAAAGGGATTCAAAGGGAAAGAATTATATGTAAATGTTTTAATTGTTGATTTTGAATTAAGCAAAATTAATCCACCTAACCTAGTGTTGTTGCCGAGATCTCCTCTTTAATGACACTGCAACACTTTAGCATTTTAATATATGAGTCATATGGAAGGAAAACACATGGAAGCTACCACAGCCATTGCCACTAGTGATGGTGAAGAACAATAAAAATAAAATCCTGCTGGTAAAGTGGGAGTGTGCTTCACAGATATCCTATTTTTGACATAAAAAGCTTTCTCCTGTGGGTCTCTCTCATTTGGATACCCCTAAGAGATTTAAAAGCACTAAGCACTACCTTTTATTAAAATTTCTTCCTGAAATGTCTTTTTTTTTCACTATAACACATTAACATGTTCAACAGAGACAGAAGTAGCCAACTGATTAAATGAGTCGCTTTCTAAAATGGTCAATGGTAACCCTTATACTTATTATAACCAAAAGAATAAACAGGCATCACTAAGCAGCAGAGAAGTCCATATTTTATTCAAACAGATCCAAAAAAATCCCCTACATGCAAAAACATGGCATGCTGTACAAAAAACCAATGTTGAAATCATCAATTTTTTAACTTCTTTCCAGTTTGAGCATAACAGTGTCACGAGAACTTACCTGCTCTACAGTGCTCTACAAGACATTACGGTCCTGACAATACCTAGAATTCATAACCTAATATAATCAGAAGAAAACCACGTTTAGTACAGGAGATGGTAACAACCATGCCTCGAACCCGGCATGGCCATTCTGCCTGATGGTGTAGGTGCACACCCCTCCATTAGTTTGGCCCAGCAGCGCTGAAGTCAATAGGGATTTTGTGAATCATTTAAGTGGAGACAGATTCTGTGATAACATGGACCTCTGGAAGGAGGGAGGCAGTCCTTCCTGTATGTATGAGTAAATGCATAACACTGACCCAAGTATAAAGCACAAAGAAAGAAAAGATGTGTTGCATTATAGCTGAACACCTTCAAAACGAAAACACACCTTCCAGCTTCTCGCACATTTCCTTTTCTAGCCAGAGAATGTCTCATCTCTGAAGAAATCTGTCCAAATCCTTCCCATACTAACTCTTCCTATAGCTGAATAGATTGTTTTATTTAAGTTGTTAGATAAATGATTAAGAAATTCTTCGACTGGGACAATTTAAACCATATCTTCACCAAAGGCCTATTCAGTGAGCATTTAAGATCTATTTTTAACTGATGGAACAAGTAATAATGTAGCATGGTGATGTTTTACATTTCTTAATAGATTTTAGTCACTGTCATTATAATTATTTTGAATACTCAGAAGACATTAAAAAGTGTAATTTTTGTGTGTGTGTGCATGCAAGCACAGATCTAAAAATTCACACATATAAAAAAATATATTCAGGAAGAATCTTGCCAAAATTAATGAAAAGTTAGTAAGTACAACATGGCAATTAAGTTTTGAAAAGGATAATTAATTTCTGCAAAGGCTGTAAGTGTCCTCTTAAGTAAAGATACTAAACTGAAAGTATGATCTGAGATAAATAATTTTTCTATGATACACTTCCTATTGAAAAAATCATTATGCTTCTCAAGCAGCATTATTTCCTTTAAAAATGTGTTATTCTGAAAATAGAAATCAGATATGAAAAATGCTAAGATGACTGATTTAAAAAGGTTTCACTTGTCTACAAAACTATTATTCAAAATGTTTTTATCATGCAAAATGTTATCAAAATCAAGTAGAAATGATGTGTTCCCAATCCTGAATTCTCCAGGAATTCCCCATTTGACCATTTTTTCCAGTCCAGTTAGGAGGGGACCATCTCTACCATGTCTCCAACACAATGTAAAGAGAGCAGTCTCAGCATAGGGCACATCAAAGAAACAGCCTGACTTGGTTCCTTTAAACTGCCCATGTGAGGAACCAGCTGCCACCTTCCCCTAAAGAAAGATGAACATTAAACAAATCTCCTACATTATGCCTCCAAGTTAACACAATGTGAATACCCACCACAGCATCCAAAATCCAAAAAGAATAAAAAGGGAGACTCAGGCAATGCTGTGAAAAATTGGTTCACTAAGAACATACTTTAAATGGCAGGCCATAAGAATTAGGAAAAACAAATTTACTCCTTTTATCAGATTAGCCTCCCTAGGAAAGAAAAGGCTAAACAAAACACACTTCAGACATACCTATTTCCAACTCCTACCATTTTGCCTTTGGTGGTATCAGTAGCACAGAACTCAACATGAGCAAAGGCTAGTTCCAGTCTCAGCTGTGAATGTTCTTTCTTCTGGTGAAACATTTAGTAATAACTAAGCATTCAGGGGCTTGTTCAGTATAGCATATGCTTTCATGTAATCAGAAAGTGTTTAACCCATCCACCTATGAGAGCAACATAAAGGTTTCTACTGATTTCATTTGACTACAAATCAGATGCTAGGTCTATCACACACACACGAGCAAAATAATAATAATCCACCTCTACTTCATAGGAAACTTCCTCATAGAAAAAGTAATCTTCATGAAAATAAAGACTTACAAGAACAGAGAATAGGTCGCACATTAACTGGAAGATAAATAATGTTCATCAATAAGGGCTGAAATAATATTTTTAAAAATCCCTTTTTCTTTTACAGTTTAAATAAAACCTTAATTACTGGGAAAATGTAGACATTAACTTGTCAAATTACAAAATACATAAAGATTAAAGTAGTTAGAATGTAGTTAAGCATTTTAACACTACATTTGTTCATAAGATTTTCAGAATCAACTCTTGGCTTTCTTCTCTAAATATATGGATGGAACAACAACTCAGGTCATTGCTTTTTCAATTTACAGAAGAAAAGTAACTTAAATTCTTTAACTTCTGTAGGCTTTCCCCCTGCTTAAAAAGCAAAACCAAAGCATGCCCAATACAATAAATAACACTAATTCTGAAAACAATATGGCAACCCACCCACAAGGCTGCCCTATCGGGCTCTGATGAAAAGGGTTTCATCAGGAGTTGTAGGACAATTCTCCTTCTCAGTAACAGTCTCTACTGTGCCTGAAGCAGACACAATCACTGCTGTTCTAGCTGCTGAAAGAGCTTTCTCCTTCTCTGCGATGGCAGCGCAGACTGCCACAATTTCATCACTTTCAAAGTCATAGTCTGGGATTGATTCCTGTGTGAGCTCTTTTTCTTTTACTAGTGCTTGCACTGACTCAGTCTTTGTTGCCTTCTGCTGTTCATGTAGTTTTCTTGCCCAGGAAAGATCCTCTTTCCATACTTCAGGGTTCATTGGAAAGATGTGTAAGGATACCTGGAAACTTCTGATTGCCTATAAATAGAATAGGGAAGAAACAAGGATTGAAAACTTTAAACCCTACACACCCAATTTCTAGATTGTAGAAATTAACAACAACAACAAAAATGTACATTATTCAAGCAAAGACAAAGTGAGTTTACTGCAGTCTGTCTTTAGTGGAGTAATTCTTCCTCAGCAGTAAGTTCAACAGCAGTGCGACCCCCAAACAACTGTGCATACAAGTGTCTGAAAGTACCAAGAATGAATGAGGTACCTACCTTGCAACAAGGGCACAAATAAGAACTCACATGTCAAAAAAAAAAAGTCATTAAAAAGGTAAAAGTAAAAATGTTTTTTGTTTTGATGGTTTTCTGTCCCACTTTTCTCCTGTCATCAGATGTACGGAAAGGCAAAAGCAGATAGATATGGTTTAAAGAAATACAGAAAAGGGATGACTGGGACTTGAAGTATCAGTAATATTGCTGCTTTTAAACGAATATGTAGTCATTTCACACACAGACCTAAGACTACAATAATCCTAGCCACGTGATATGCAGTTTGTGTAACAGGTTTGTGGCTGCAAACAGATTTACCTAAACAGGCAAAAGGAGACAAAATATCAGCTTGGAGAGTTGCTCTAAGAAAGAACTCCTATAATCTTATAACCCATATTAATACAAATAATTATAGTTGATATTATTTCTCAGCTCAACGGGGAAAAGTCAAAATGTGACCATAGATGTGACATTTGGCAACAAAAAGAGATTGCTACAATACTGGAAAAATTCTAGACTAAGAATTACAACTGTATTATAGTTATAGTTACATTAACAGTGAAAAGGTCAAGGCTGACCTTACCTACTCAGACTTATGTGTGCGTACACACAGGCATGTGTGTATTTTGCATTTATGACTGTATGGTCAGCTATAGAAATGGCCACCTCAGTGACCAAATTCTCGTGTGATGAGGTACAGAAGCCTTCCTGGAGGGTGGGAAAACAGCGAAGATATGGATTGGGATTATATTTGGGAAGAGTTCTAGCAACTTGCATATAAAGACTTCAAAGACACATGAACAACCATTGAAGACCATATTCTGTCGTAATTTATAAATATACTTAAAGCATGCAAATTCATTTGAAATATCACAACTTTTCAACTGCATTGACAGAAATTGCCAATTCATCCTTCTGCTGGCACAGATTAACATACGAACTATGTATGACGTAAATTCAGCAGACAAGATGTAAATCAGATTTAAGAAATGTCCATTATGCTATCAGTATTACTGCTGTTGTAATAGGCAGCCTTTCAGTTCCAGGAAAAAGAAAAAAACTTTATTACTGGTCCACATCCAGCTCTGAACTGTAGGAGCATGCTGAACTGTAAAAGGAAGGAGGAGTGCACTTTAATGCTTGCAAAACAATGTCATTTTATCCTACTTTGCTAGCTTTTAATCTCCAGTGATACAAGAGGTACAAGTAAATGCTCTTTTTTTAGTATTTCTGTTGAAAACAAAATATAAGCAAACACTACCTTCTTTTAAGCTTTCCATGAAAGAAGCCCCACCCCCTAATTAAAACCTGTCTGTATAGTTATGTTCATGCACAATAAACAACATTAAACACAGTAATCAAATATAAGGTAAAATTTAATAAGCTTAGAAGCTGCCTTGATGAATCACACAATACAACATAAAATTATCATCTTTGTAAATCTATTAGAAAAAAGATCTTGCGTGACATTTTTATAAATAAATAAACAAATAATTAAATAATAGTAATAGTAATAATAATAGTAATAATAATAATTTCTCAGTGTCCTCCCCTTTGTTTTTTCCTGGCTGACCCAACTCCTCTGCAAAAGTAAATCAGGGTTAATGGGCTCCATTGGATTTGGAGCAGGAAATAATAATAATAATAATAATAATAATAATAATAAGAAGTAAATTTTGAGTGCTGCAAAAGATCAGAGGGATCTGTTTAAAGCAGCCATGTAATACTGAAAAATACAGAATTGTCATTCACATAAAATTTCATGTTGCCACTGTAACTGCTTCCACAGCCATTAATTTGTATTAAAGACAGAAGAAAAGAAAATAACAGTGTTACTTATAATTTTGTTGATTGATATATAAGTCTTCTTCTCCAACTGCCTGTCTGGCATCATAGGAAAACGTGGTGGCACTATCTAAACTTGGTATTTCTAGCCTCATTTTAAAGGGCAGCTGTGGTCTTAAGAGACCCTGCATGTAAGGACTATAGGATTTTAAATTGGTATATACTCACAGAATCACAGAATGTCAGGGATTGGAAGGGACCACGAAAGATCATCTAGTCCAATCCCCCTGCCAGAGCAGGAACACCTACAGTAGGTCACACGTACCTGCTTTTGCTTCTGTAAGGAAGAGTATAAAATCTACTGCAAGATGTTCTCAATTGCTAAATTACAATATCTGAAGAATTTCTATTTTAGAAATACTTTACATTTTGTCTCACTATAGGCCATTCTGTAGTAAACAAACTTTCATTTGTCTCTTCTGCTGGTTTGTAGAATTTTTAAATGTGAAGGGCAGTTTTGACCACACTACATGTTTTATAACATGTTTTTATAACACATGGACCCGATAATTGTCACTATACAGTGACCCCTAAAAAGAGTAAGAGAGCATCTTAAGAAGTTATGCAGTTCACATCAAGCCCCCAAGGTTTGTATTAGGCCTTTATGTTACATCTGACAGACACTATCTAACCCGTTTCAAAGGTTGTCCATCAGTGAAGATATGTATACATCTGTAAGTAATTTTTTTCTGTGTTTAATTATCCTTAAATACAGATTTTTTACAGCATCCAACATAATAACTGGAGGTACTGTTGGATAAAAAGCTGGACATAAACCAGCAATGTGCAGACTTCTGTAAGGCCTTTGACACCACTGAGTGGTGCAGTTGACACGCCTGAGGGATGGGATGCCATCCAGAGGGACCTGGACAAACTTGAGAAATGGGCCCATGTGAACATCATGAGGTTTAACAAGGCCAAAGTCAAAGTCCTGCATCTGGGTTGGGGAAATCACTGGTATCAGTACAGGCTGGGGGATGAGTAGATTGAGAGCAGCCCTTTGGAGAAGTACTTGGGAGGTACTAGCGGATGAAAACCTGGACATCAGCCAGCAATGTGCACTTGCAGCCCAGAAGGCCAACCTTATCTTGGGCTGCATCAAAAGAAATGTGGCCAGCAGGTCAAGGGAGGTGATTCTGCCCCTCTGCTCTGCTCTGTTGAGACCTCATCTGGAGTACTATGTCCAGCTTTGAAGTCCCCAGCACAGGAAACACATGGACTTGTTGGAGCAGGTCCAGCGGAGGGCCAGAAAAACAGAGAGCTCCAGGGATGGAGCACCTCTGCTACAAAGAAAGGCTGAGAGAGTTGGGGTTGCTCAGCCTGGACAGGAGAAGGCTCTGGGGTGACCTTATTGCGTCTTTTCAATACTTGAAGGGGGCCTGTAAGAATGATGGGGACAGCCATTTTATCAGGGCCTGCAGCAAGAGGACAAGGGAGTTACAATGAGGGTGGTGAAACACTGGTACAGGTTGTCCAGAGAGGTGGTGGATGCCCCATCCCTGGAAACATTCAAGGTTAGCTTGGACGGGGCTCTGAGCAACCTGATCTAGTTGAAGATGTCCCTGCTCACTGCAGGGGGGTTGGACTAGGTGACCTCTAAAGGTCCCTTCCAATCCAAACCATTCTACAATTCTATGATTCTATTTACCTCTCAATTACCAAATTATACTGTTGAAATTATTACAAGAATTTTTAAAATAATGGTAAGACAACTTTCTCCTCAATCCCAGTTTGTCATATGCTCTGTTTTAACTAATGCTTTTAATTCTAAGGTCTAACTGTAGAGAAGATGGACTTCATCATCATGGTTAAAGACTCAACAGTTTTGAGCAGCTGACAAGACTAACAGAAGGCACCAGCTAAGTCAGTGGGGAACACTCGCAAGATCCGAGTACCTCTGCTAGAAATGGAGCACAAAGGGCATTTAAACTTTTGGAGACTTGCTTGCCCTTCTGCTTTCTTGGCCAAAAATAAAAATCACCTCTGAGTAGATCTTTTAATGTATTAAAAAAATCATTAAGTAGGTTATCAAAACATATTTATGACTTCCAACAGTAGTTTAAAAAACCCCCAAAACAACAGGATTACACTATAGCAGCTGGAGATTGCAGGACTAACACAGGACCTCTGGGGAAGCTAGCATTACTGGTTATTACCTGCTATCACCTATAACTGGGTAGGACTGTTTAAAGCTGTTGAAAAGAATTTAACAGAACCCCACTTTAACTGACAAAGCATTTTATTTTCTCTCTGACTTAATACTGCCCAAATACTATGCACCAGAATTTGTATGTGGCTGGAGTGTAGTTGTGTAGTTCAAGATGGAGTTGGCACAACAGGGTAAGATTCACAAAATGGTTGGGGTTGGCAGGGACCTTCTGTGGTCATCTGCGCCAACCCCCTGCTCAAGCAGGGCCACCTGGAGCTGGATGCCCATGACCATGTCCCCATGGCTTATGAATTTCCCCAAGGTGGGAGACCCAGTAATTTTCAGTTTTTTGTTTTTTTTTTTAAATGCTGCTTTTGTTTTGGGTTTTTTTTTGTTTGTTTAATGAAAGTCTGGGCTCACTCTGTCTCAGGGGAAGAACTGTTCTAATGAAGATATCAGTGTGAAATTGTTACTGCTTAAGTTGTCATCACCAATACAGTAAATATCATTTATAAAAATAAACACAATAAAATGAGAGAAATATTGCAAGCCTGACTACATTTCTACAGGTTCTACATCCATGTTGCAAAGTTTACTCAGGTGTGCTCTTGCAAACTGATTTGTAGAATTTAAGGAATTTCTGCCTTTAGACAAATAAAGTTCTGCCTGCTCTCATTTAAGTATTATTGTTGAATTACCCTATTCAGTAAATTCAGAAAAAAGAGCAAACAGCTTTTGTAAAAGCTAAATAAAAAGGGGCTAATTCATCTCACTCTGTCACAACTTGGACAAAACCAAACCAGAGCAAATATTTCCTTGTTTGCAAGAAATGAATATATTATGCAGCTCATACTATAAATTAACCTGTTTGGAAGCTGTATTTTAGACCTGGGAAATTTGAAATTAAAACACAGTAAATTGTTTGGGGTTTTTTTAAGAAAAAAGTGCATCATTAATTGTGAAGTAATAAAAATATTCACAACAGACCATTTGGCCAGATGTGGGTAGTGAAGACAGACAGTGGTGGGTGAGAAATCAAACAAAGAAACAAAAGAAGCTGCTCTTGAGAAGGGTAACAATTCTGAAATGTTGAACATTACTAAAAAGCCCTGACATTTATGCTTTATTAATTTTTCTTTGTAAAAAATATAATGCAGTGAAAAATTAGAAAATTGTGGTAACAAACAGCTAATATTCATTAGAAAAAGGATAATTATGACTTAGATTACCTGGTCAAGAAGCCTCTACAGGTTCAGTAATTATGAAATCATTTAACTTTTTAAGACTCCTCCAGTCTTAACCTTTTAAGATTCCCTACAGATTGTTTGCTTCAGAAATAAATAGTGAATATTATCTGCATTTTAGAATAACTCCCCAAGTTCTTCTTTGTATATGAGAACATATCCATCAGAAGGCAGTTCAATATGCCTTAAAGATAGGAAGGCAAAAAAAGTAGAAACAGCCAGTACTAAAGCACTGGAGACACCAACAGGAGCTCACCCACCCCTGAATTGTACATCCAGACAGAACAGACCATCTACTCTTACCTTCTACACCACAAAAGCCATGGAATGTCACCAGTTATGTGATGTGATGCAGATATGCATGGATTTATATTAAATATTTAATATTATGATACTACAACAATGTAAGGTAGACCACTACATATCTGCAACACACAAACACACGGCTTTTGTCTTATGTAATTCTTATCTTTTTTTTTAAGTACTGCTCCTTACTACATTTCAAAAAGGAACTGGTTTGGCATTATCTGTTAGCCTCCCTCAAAAAAATCATAATTATTTTTTTATTCTTGAAAACCTTTGGTCCAAATATTGTAACTTTTCAAAAACACTCTAAACTAACAAAAAAATTATTTGTGGATCAAACCAGCACACAGGTACTTCTATTAGAAAGAAAATAAAACCAGTATTCATTGTGAGCATCTGAATGCTCACAATGAATTATTTTTCTAATGGACTTCTATGAGCGGGTCTGAATTAAAAAGTTTAGTCACTGTGTTTCCACACTAACTATCAGAAAACTGTTACACCACCTATGCGGTATTATCTACAGCTGTATAGCCTACAGGTGGAGGGTGATCTGACATGGGGGAAGAGTCTTCCTTTGCCTCACATCATGTAGCTGAGACAGCACCATGGCATACAGCTGCAGGTAGAGAAAAGATGCACTCCAGCTACTGCAGAGCAGGGCAGACTTTATGCTGTCTCATTAAGGAAAGAAGCCACTTCAGCCACCATTTGAGGTCAAGGAGCCAGAGCAAACCATGAATGAGCACACATGATTTGCTGCACCTGAAGCAGGAGAGGAGGAGACAGGGAAAACAAGACACTAGAATTTTATTAGTAGGCATGTATGAAACTCAGCCTGAGTATCAACTGGGACTTCACGGTACCTTCATCTTTCAACCATGGTGAGCTGTGCTGTAGCAGTACAGTACTCAAAATATAGTATGTGCAGTTATGTCAATGTAGTTATTCTATTGCATAAAGCCACCATTTAAATATAGTAAATAACAAAAAAGGCTTCCACAAGCCCAACAACAAAACCACACCAGAAACATCTGTGAAAAACAATAAAGTGGAGGGAATACTGGAGATAGGTAACAATCACCTTTTTCCTTACCTACTTTCAGGTTACATAAAGATATTCAGCTGCCTTGGTACCTCTATACTCTCATTTTCTCACACAGAATTCGGAGGATGTGGTTTACAAGTTTAGCATACTAATGCTGTCAGTTTCCCTACCAGTGCTATCTCTCCTAATCCAAGCTGGGCACGTCCCAAAGTCTGCCAGGCATCCCAGGAACGTGGGTTTCGCTGGACAGCCATTTCTGCTGCATGTACTGCTGGGAACATTTCATGTAAAGACATCAGGACCTACGACAGAAAAAGAAACATAAGAAGAACAAGAATAAGCAAAATTGAAAACAGATTTAAGTTTCCCAGGACTACCCAGGCAGCCACCATTGTTTCAATAACTAAGGACAGGTTCATCTCACCTAGCGTTTTCTAGTTTAAAAGTTAGTTGTCTAACCTCAGACAGTCACCCAGACTCATTCCATAACCCACAGAGAGAAACAGATGTGCTAGAGGATGATTCACCTGAATCATTTAAGCAACTCATTAGAAGTAGATTAATAGCTTCTGAAGGTGTCCCTCCCTCTTCCTTACTCCCTACAACCCCCATATTCTGTAACAGAAGCACAGAATCGCAGGGGTTGGAAGGGACCTCAGGAGATCATCTAGTTCAACCAATACAGAATACACTGAAGGACAAACACATTAAGAATTAAACACAATAAAAAGCACTTATTGCTGAAAAACTCCTGGGTTGTATTTTTTACTTTTAATAGAAGATTAGAATCCACCAAATACAGTTGCAGTGCACATTATATAATTATAGAAACAATCCCTGTAATTCAGCATGAAAACAGCCCTTAACAATGACTGTTGTGCTTAGAAAGTAAGCATTCTGCAATAGCAAAGCCTAACTTAGGCATGAAGTCACCTACACAAAAAAAAAAAAAAAGTGGTTTCTGTATGTGGAAATCTCTTTTACTCAGCAGTACAGGTTAGTGTCAGTCTGTTACCATAGCACTGTACTCCTTGCATGGAATCTCCATAACTAAGCCTATAAATCATAGTTCACAATACATAACATGGTTCAAATCTTGTCTTATTTTTCCAAGGCCACCATGAGATTGGCATATTACCTGAAGACCTGCATCACTCTGAGATCATGATTTCAGACACCCACATGCTATGGTGATAGATACCAGTGTAAGAAACAAATGACAGCTGCATTCCTACAGTATGATGAGAATGTCAACCACAAGAGTAAGACTCATGTGTGGGCAACCACTTTCAACCCAACTGACCCACAAGCATGACGAATAATATTAGAACATATTAGGAGTATTGCTGAAGTGCAAAAAGCATTTATTTAACCTTACTGTTCTATGATATTTTAAATAGATAAATATGAGTGTGGAGTACAGGAGGATTCAAATGCAATAATCTTGAGTATTTACCTTAATTAACATAAAGTTATTGCACAGTACTGGGATGAGCACAGTTAAAAAACCCAATCTTTACTACAGAAAGCAATCCTGTACCCAAGAAACACAGGAAGCAAAGTTTCCCTTTAGATCCCTACTCCTGCTGTTTTAGTAATACTGCATTTTGCTAAAGACTAGTCCTATGGCTTCTCTTTAATTCCATTTAACAGGTTGTACATTGGAATTTAGAGGTAACTAAAAATCGTTAAAAATAACCCATGTCATGTAATTTTCCCTTTTTGTCTCAACAGTTTTCAATGACTGTGCTTTGTAAGCAAAGTTTGTTAGGAATACCATGTATTTTTCAAAAACTTTCAGCTCAACTGCATTTTGGTGTGCAATTTCTCTTATTCACAGCAGATCTGGAAATTGTATCAAACTGCTACCAGTGGATAGGTGTACATGTTACCAAGATTAAGTGACTCCGCATCTATCAGCTAGCTTTTACATTAATCTCTTAATGTGTTTACCTTCACAAGAGAAAACAAATCCAAGTATACACTCCCTTGAACATTTTTATGCATCCTGAGTACTCAGTATTTCCTACCAGTACTTTCTACTGCAACACAATTCCAAAACATCTGTGTAAGTATTTAGGAAATCTTTTGTAATTTTTAGTAAATTTTACTGCTTTGTTTATTGAATTGTGACCTCACTAGTAAAAGACAATTATTCTACTTTCATCTGTTTATGACTGTTGTGTGTACTAACTTAGACAGCTGCTTTGAAAATGCTCTTCCAGATCATGGTGGTAATTACCGTGCTCCTGGTAACTACAGCACCAGTTTCTCAAGGTAAACTCAAACAAATACAAATCTGAATGTATACGTATTTTGTCCAGCACAGTGGGTTTTTTCAGTTATTAATAAAATGACTCGGCTATCCTTGTCAGTCATTATAAAGGAATAAACTTCTTAATGCACACTATTTTCCTACACTTCTGTTTTCACATGAAGAGATCATCAAAGACGGCAGACCTGAATGTGTGCAGTCTTGTCTTGGGTTACTTTACTTGTGATATTATTAGCACTCTAATAAAATAACTCTGCATGCTAGATACCACTGCTACCTGAAAACTGAACCAGCAAACACTCAGTTATTCTACATCTGGAATGTCATGCTGAAAAAGGAATAAAAATCACCACTAGTATAAAGTTTTCTTCTGCACAGATTTGACAGTAAGTGCTCAGTCTTTCTACTGGCAGAGGCCACAATGGCCAAGACAAAGTCAGACAGGAACCAGATTTACTGTATCCCCCTTTGTGCCTGTCACATGCTCAACGTGCAGCCATGTCAACCACCAAATCTATGTGTACATACACAGTCCAGTGTGGTCTCCATTTCACCAATAGGGTAAGTACCTAAAGGGTTATTGTCATCCCTTACACATGTGCCCCTAGACTACTTCAGTACCATTGACTCTAAAATGCAAGCCACCAGCAGCATCAGCCCAGACCTGCATACAATTATATTACTTCATTAGTAACTTTGTGCAGTTTCTTTTGATTCAAGTTACACTCACATCAACACCAATGTCTTTTTGGTGGGTTTTTTTGACAACAGAGATAATTGTTAACCTCTGCTAGTTACTTCCTGCAAAACATTCAGATTACTAGTAAAAACAGGAACAAGCAAGACGTTAAAATAGAGTATTCAGACGTAACGTTTCTTTATAAACAGGTGTTCACTTTTTAGAGAAACTAATTCAGTTGCATTACAGTATTTTTCAATGACCAGACAAATAGCATGATGCCTCAGAGAGGAACTATGCATCACTGAAAACTCCATTTAAATTCCTCTTCCTCAATGTTTTAGCATCAACTTAAGACTCTTTAGATGGCCATGTGTTCAGAAAAATGTACAAACATAACCTTGTCATTTGAGAGTAAGGCAATAGATTCTATTCCTTTCCTGTTGCTCTCAAATTAATTTCTCAGATGAATTTTCTTTTGCAAACTTCATTAGCAGGATGGCATTCCAGTTTCATAGTTAAGTAATCTGACTACATATTAGATTTATTTTCCAATTATAGTGATAACACTTCATTAGAAAATACTCTTAAAACTTACCAAACAATTAGAAAAAAGAATTCTTACAAAGCAGAAAAAACCATCTCATGTCTCTCATGCACATATATATCAAAAATTACTAGAGGGAAATGTCTTGTAAAGATGGTCAGCAGGTGGATTTTCAGAAATTACTTTATTCCAACACAGACTTACCATTATCACATGCATTAAGACAAAGAACATCTGTGCCACTACAATGACTTAGCTTTAAAAAAAGTACAAATGTTGAGATGGTATTAGAAGAATTAGAAGAGCTCAGTAGCAAAAAAATAAACCAATTAAACACAGCAACCACCATCAGGAGGCTGACCAACTAGCAAAATCCAGGCAGCAAAATGACCCATCCTGTCCTACCCACAGTATTCTGGAAGTGTTACAAACCTGAGTAAGTCCTGGTTTTAGATGAGCTCACTGGCTTGAATCTGAATCACTATACATAGATACATTCCAAGTCCAGTGAAACTGACCCAATTCTTTCTTCCATCCAGAAAGCCATTTTAAATCACTGATGAATAAAATTCTTCCTACCCATAAGCAGTTTACTATCCATGCTGTTTCCTTTCCCTAACTACATCGCTTTCTGGAGTTTACATCAATATTTTATAGTAAACTCTTTTCACTACATCCCAGTCAAAAAAAAAAAAAAAAAAAAAAAGCTGATTTGTTATAACCTAAACTTGGGATTGTGAGTCTGGTCATGTTTTAGGAACTTTATCCTTTCTTAAGCAGGAAGAGAGATGGGTGGAAGGTTATGTTATTTCTTCACTGAATTAATGATTAAGAAAACCTTTAGAAGAAGGGAAATTGAATGATTTGAATGGGACCATGAAGGGTTTGGCCTAATAAAGAGAGACATACATTTGAAATCTTGGTCCTGTTCAACTAATGCAAATTGAGGATGCAGAGTTGTACAGAAACTAGATGCTCAGATAACTGATGACAAACATCCAAAAAGCCTATTAAATGGAGATTAACCTGACTATTTATGTTTGTATTTTCTTGTTTCTACAAATATCAATAAAAAATTGCATTGTGTAGTCTAGGAATCCTGTCATAGTTGCACAGTGTGTTTGACAATGTCATCTGAAATCTGAGGTAGAAGTAGTGCTGGATGAGCTACATGAACCAGGTGAATTCTCAGGAGTGGTGTAGAATAGCAGAGTGCCTGATTCCCAGGAGTCTGTTATATAGATCATAATGTATTAAGTCCTTTGATATCTCTCTTCTCCCAAGAAAGAGACCCACATGGTCCAGCATATAAATGTTCAGACCCAAATCCAAAGAATTTCTCAAAGCCTGTTCCTTGATCTTTCAATTCAAAGCAGCAATAAACTAATCTGGTCAGTGTTTAAGAAACTTAGCCCACAATGAATTTCAAGCAGTCTTAGTGACTGCATTAATACAGGTAGTCTTCATACACTCCTTTGAATATACTTATGATACTACTTATCTAATACTAGAATCAACACCAGGTTGTTGTTGTTGTTGGGTTTTTTTAAACTTTTTTTGAAACAAATATAGAAATTAACTTCTTGCATAAACATTTATTTGTCACTCATTGTTCTTGCAATGGGGGAGCAATTAGGCTGGTACACAGACTACCAAGATACACTTAAAGACCTTGTATGCAAAGAACAGTTTAAGTGAACCCTCACCACTGCACACACCACAATAAACTATTCTTAAATTTATCAAAGAGTATCTGAGAGCAATGTAAAAAATCTTATCAACTTTTATGGATTCTTGAAGCACGACATGGTTGAGCAATTCCACAATTCCCCATATGTTTTTCTGGAAACACACTTACTGCAAGTGTCATTGACTACTGGGAAATTTAAACATTATTTCTGCTCTTCAGAAATACTGAAAGACATTTGTCCTACATCTGCTAAAATACAAATCTTTAGGAACTGACCATAAATATTTACAGATTCTTACAGTGTCATTAGCATATTTATCTAAGCTGCATATTAAACAACAGATTATTTAAAATGTTAGGTTGCTGCTGAGAACATAAATACCAATGAACTGCTACATAACTCAACATAAGGTTATCTTAATAGATGTAAGAGGATACACAAGATGCAAAACACTCCATCCAATGTTAATTCTCAAAATAAATTTCTTCATGGGGAGGCTTTTCCTCACAGAGAAAATTCATATAGACCATAAAGAATCCTTGCATATCACACAAAGTCATTCTTAACATGAATCATTTCCTCTGGTACGTGACTCACATACCAAGATGGGCAGATTTTCACTGGCCCAATGCTGGTCAAGTCCTTGATGAAGTTAGCATACAGTTCTTCCAAATGTGGAGCTACCAAACTTTCTCATTTAGCTACACAATGACAGCTGCAGTATTTGTGCTGGCACGCTGGACTGGTGCAACATAGTCAGCTTTAAGATAGTACCTTTTAAATATTAACCACAATATTTTTTGTATGAATTACATATTCCTATTTTGGTAAAAATCAATTTTTACAGCTCACATTAGTGTCTTTAAAAGCAGAAAGGTATCAAATTACGCATTATACTAATCACCTTCCAGTAAGCATAAGTCATACCACAAAAAACATCTGTAATAACTATTTGCATGTACTAAAGAGATGTTACTAATTTAGAGATTAAAGTAGAGGTTTTGTTAAAAAGAATCAAGAAATAATTTTATAAATGTGCCATATTTTGTACATAAACTTTTCTTATGTTCTTATTCACAGTGTAACAGAAGTGGTATGCAGTATCAGAAAGTGAAACGGTGCAGCTGCCCAGCAGTGCTTTCCTCCTCAGGAAAGAAAGCAAAGACATGGTGGAAGTGGAGGCCTTGGTTCCTTTGTTCTTTCAGCTTTCACTACTGTCCAACAGTTTCATTAGACAGGCAAAGACATTTTACAAAACCAGTGGTTTCTCCCAGTCAGATGGAAAGCTATGTGCCTCATTCTTCCAGCCCACCTTTGCCATTCAGCTGAAATACAAGGATCGGGGTGCCGCGTAAGTGACCACCCCTCTCTACTAGGTACTGCAGCTGCAGCACCAATTAAAGGATGTTGTGATAAGTATCCATTTGCATAGGGCACTGCATCATAGTTCAGATCCTGGCAAGCTAACATAATTCCCTGTTCTCCTGTTATTTTCACTGTGAAAATATTTAATTTTAGTATAATTTCAATTAAATAGGGTACTTTTGGAGAGCTAGCTTAATTCCTGCATTCACATAAGACCATAATAAGGAACTGTTGTTACAAGAGAGCTATTCACTAATTTGTTCCACTGAGTGTAACTGTCTTTTTCAACAGCTTTCTCTTGACTTTAAGTAAAAAAAAGAAATTCTAATTGCAAAATAAAGGCTGCTTCAAAAATACCCTGTGTGAAGGAGTCAGCACCAGAGCACATTAACAGTTTTTTCCAACCTGGAAGCAATCCTACTAGGTGGTCTGTTTTATTCAAAACTGAGTTAAAGATTTAAACTATAGTAAAAGAAAATTTATAGGAACAATATTATTTTCACACACATTTCACATCTTTCACAATATTATTCAAAACTGAGTTAAATATTTAAACTATAGTAAAAGAAAATGTATAGGAACAATATTATTTTCACATCTTAACAGAATTTCTTTACTAGTGGAGTTAAAAATTAAATGCACAAATGAATAGCAACATAAGTTAACAACCTTCACAGCAACCTGGAAAGCTTCTAATTAAAGCAGAATTATACTATTCTGTCTCTTCCAATAATGTATAATTAAGATTTGGAACTCCTTGGCACATAGCTCTGCAGATGATAAAAGTTTACATGACAGCACAAAGCAACAAGACAAATTTGTTGAAGAAAAATCTTTCAAGCACTTCTAAACACAGAGGAGTCCTGGAGCCAAAGCTTGTTGGAGGCTGGGAAAAGTATCATGGGGAAATACTGCTACATGCTTGCACAACTTGTATGACTCCCAGCCATTCACTGTCAGAAGCTGTCAGGATACTAGGCTAGGCAGATCTTTCATTTAAGCCAGCATTGACATAAAGGCATCCAGATACAAGGAAATACTCAATAGAGGTTCACATGTTTAAGATGTTTCGTTATCATAGAACTCTAGACGTATGCAGGAGTCAAGCACCTAAATTATATAGGAGATCTGTAAATGCTAACGTGCTATCTAAATAACACACAGATCTGATTCTAAGCGTGTGCAAGTTAAGAGAAAGTACCACTGTAAAATGTCCCTAAAGTTTGAACAACATGCATGAAGAGATTTTTTTTTTCCTAAAAAGATATATGCCTCCTATTTTAGAAGTTAGGAAGAAATAATTGACTAAAAATCTAGCCTGGTGAGAAAGTGGGGAAGACAAATGCACACTTTACAGCATCATGTAGGATACAGAATGCGAGAACTAGAACTAGAAAAATTCAGCAATTTAAAGTAAAAACAATTACTGCATCTTATTATCAACACCATTCAAATTAACAAATCCGGTCAGAAATCGACCTTCCATACACACTCCTCCCTGGCTTTTCCCTACCACAGCCTATCTGAATCCCTTAGACGCATATGATACATTGATAAAGCAACCCAACAATACACTTCTCCCAAAGTAATTCAGGAAGAAACACCTTTAAAGGCAAAAAGTAGTTCTCAAACCAAACGCAAAACTAAGTAAAATCTGAACCTTCTGCAGCTATATAAAATGAAAGCATCCTCCAGCATTATTGTAGTGAAATGAGCTTAGGATTATTCAATTAATTCTTTTGCAGAATCAAACTTTCTTCACAAACAACGCGTCTGTGAGGAGGAGACGTGATAGCATCCAGGCAAAAAAAGGAGCAGTTACCACACCTTGGAAAACAGACAGCTTTGCTTCTTGGGTTTTGTTGAGGGATTTTTTGGTTCACTTTGTTTTGGTTGGGTTTGTTGTTTTGGTTTGGTTTGGTTTGTTTTTTTTTTGGGGGGTGGCAGTGTTGTTCTGTCCTTTATACAAGGAAAGAATTATTGTAACACCAAAGATTTTAAAACTAAACAATATAGAAAGCTTCCTAAAAGTCACATTAACACATTCATTAAAGGAACACGATTTTACTTTCCCTTTTCCTTTCTCCTAACTTTAAACACTGTATTTTTCAGCCATATTTTGAGTAGCTACCTTCCTAAAAATATTTTTCCCATTCTAATCTGTCTAGCTGGTTGAAAGTAGCCATACATTTCTTGTTCTCATCCTCAGTACAAACTAAAACAATTTTTGCAGAATAGCATTTTTATTTAATACAACAACAACAACAAAGTATTTTTGTACCTTTGCAAGCAGATGGAGACAAAAGCTTCCCCATCCAATCAAAATAATGGATCCTGGCACTGCTGCCATCTAAGCCACGCAAAGATACACTGAAATTACAAGCTGGTCTCACTGCTTTAGTGAGATGCTAATGGATGCAAGCCTTTTTCCCCAAAATAGCTTTAAAATAAAGGCTCAGATGAATTGACATCACAAGTATACTGTTAAATGCTCTTTTCCAAGACTAATTTATCTATGTAATACTTAATATGAAAACAGACTGGAGCACATCTTTTGCATGCAGAAGCCCTCTTTAATGGTCATAGTATTAAGCCAATTCTTTAAAAAGAGAAGGTAGATTTTTAATGGTCAAATTTGCTATTCTACCACAGTAAGGCTCTCCTTGCTCCTCCCAATACTATTTTTAAATATTTCAGTTGCTTTTTCCACATTGTAGCATCCTAATTCATGTCCTAATAAAGATGTTTATTGTGGCTGTGTGTGATCACAGCATTATTTTAATTCCTGTTAAAAGATAAATTGTTGTGTTGGGAAAAATAAAAAACCTAAGTTGTGCTGGAGTTTATGCTCACAAAAACTACACAATGTTGCACAGTACCTGCTGTTCACGAGCACAATGTTTTAATTTTTAATTTCTAAACTGATAAAGAATTGTCGTGCTTTACCTGTGACTTCATTTCATAAAGCGTAGCATCCTCTGGAGTTAACTGAAGTGCTTCATCCCACTTGTGAATAGCCTCTCGGTACCTGTAGTTAAAACAACATTACAGTCTCACTATATTTAAAGATATTAGATATTTCTATTTATATCCTGACACTGTCCTAAATAAAGTTCCATGTACCTCATTAGTATTAAAGGTTTTTCTAACCACTTCCCTCTAAGACATGCTGAACAGTTTTCAGGAACTGGCTATTTGTTCTTCTGACCAAAGGGATGCTAAGTACTACGGTACAACTGGCCTCACGTGAATTTACAAGTCAACACAGGAAAGCTATGGCAAAGCAATGACTTAAAACTAGAAATCTTGAACTGAGTCCAGTTCCTCTTACTGTCAAATTGATCCTTAGGCATAAAGAAATATAATCTGAACCCAACATGCCTTGCTACAGTCATAATTCAAAATTTCTTTTCAGGAAACAGAGGAGATGTCTAAAAAGACTTAAACAGAGGAGTTGCCCTCCTGCACTTCCATACTGTAAGATACTAAAGATTTAAGAGTAATTTTAGTATCTAAATATAAGAAGGAAGTTGAAAGTAAACAGCTATACTTAAGTCACACAATTTTGAGAAGGTAAGCAGTAGCTTCATAGTATGTTGCCCTTCCCTAGAAAACAGAAAAGTTGATGAAAACCAATAAAAAGTATGTCTTTGTCTTGAACAAAGAGGTAAAACTTGGACAAATGCATACCAGGGTTTTGAGTCATATTGAAGAACAGTAACAGCACAGTAAGTCACAGTTACAGGGGCGCAGTCTTTTAGCCCTAAAGATGGCCTCAGATTAACATTAACAAGTCCGTGGGGAGCCACAAATTCTCTGAATGTTTAAAGATCCACCTTTGTTACGGAACTGTGTAGGAACTCCTATATTTATATTAATTTCACTGCAAAGGTACGAAAACAGTTACTCTTTATACATACATATATTGCAATTTTAATGTAGTATATATAAAACTAAAGTAGTTTTCACACACACTTCATATGGAAACAGTTTTTATCTTCCCCTGCTTCCCATTCTTCCTTCCCTTTCCCTTCCTCATTTTTCAGTCTTCTGGCTTGTATTACACCCAACTGGAAACAAAATAGATTGGAAAAGCAATGCAACTGAAGTTTAACTCTCATTATGATACAGGTATCATTAGTTTGTAAATTATACTGGTAAGTATGTTTAGCACTCAAATTAAACATCAAAGGACGCTTCAATAAATTTTCACTTTTCCTCAGAGTTTAGCTACCAGATGTGCACTTGTCATCTCAGTCAATTCTACATGGGCAGGTGTTCACACTAAAGGAAATATCACCACATTTTCTGTGTAAGTCAGTAGAAGCCATAACTTGTCATTTAGTTAGCAAGAACTACTTTTTGAGCAGAAGATTGTAGTTTTGTTCAAGACCTAGCACAGAGATACCACAATAAAACCTACATGAGTAAGGGAAGCCCTCAGCTCAGTTAGGTGGTGTCCTGGCTATGCAGCAAGTCATAATATTGTGAGTGTAGCAAAAACTTTTAGACAAAGACAATTTTGGAAAACAGAGCAAATACAGTACCAACAGCAGTAAAGCCTTTGATGCTGGTTACCACAGCATTTTGCTTGAGAAACTGGCTGCCAATGGCCTGGACAGGCATTGTCCAGACTCTGCTGGGTTAAAAACTGGCTGGATGGCTGGGCCCAAAGAGTGGTGGGGAATGGAGTTAAATCCAGCTGGAGGCCGGTCACAAGCAGCGTTCCCCAGGGTCAGTGTTGGGGCCAGTTCTGTTTAACATCTTTAGCCATGATCTGGATGGAGGGATTAAATGCACCCTCAGTAAATTCACAGATGACACTAAGCTGGGTGGAAGTGTTGATTTGCTTGAGGGTAGGAAGGCTCTACAGAGGGACCTGGACAAGTTGGATCAATGGGCTGCAACCAACTGTATGAGGTTCAACAAGGTCCTGCCAGGTTCTGCACTTGGGTCACAACAGCCCCATGCAACATTACAGGCTTGGGGAGGAGTGGCTGGGAAGCTGCCTGGTGGAACAGGACCTGGGGGTGTTGGTTGACAGCCGGCTGAACATGAGCCAGCAGTGTGCCCAGGTGGCCAAGAAGGCCAATGGCATCCTGGCCTGTATCACCAACAGTGTGGCCAGCAGGACCAGGGAAGTCATCCTTCCCCTGTATTCAGCTTTGGTGAGGCTGCACCTCGAGTGCTGTGTTCAGTTTTGGGCCCCTCACTACAAGAAGGACATTGAGGTGCTGGAGTGTGTCCAGAGAAGGGCAGTGAAGCTGATGAAGGGGCTGGAGAACAAGTCTTATGAGGAGCAGATGAGGGAACTGGGGTTGTCTAGTTTGAAGAAGAAGAGACCGAAGGGAAACCTTATCACTGTCTACAGCTCCCTGAAAGGAGGGTGTAGCAAGGCGGGTGTGTGTCTTTTTTCCCCGGGTAACTAGTGATAGAACAAGAGGAAATGGCCTCAGGTTGTGCCAAGATTGTTCAGACTGGATCTCAGGAAAAAATTCTGTCAGGAAAAATAACCACTGAAAGGGTTCTCAGGCACTGGAATGGGCTGCCTGGGTACATGGTTGAGTCACCATCCCTGGAGGTATTTAAAAGACAGGTAGATGGGGTGCTCAGAGATATGGTTTAGTAGTGGATAGGGGTGATTGGACTCGATGATCTCAAAGGTCTCTTCCAACCAGGCAATTCCATGATTCTATGATCAGTAACCAGAAAGGAAAGAACAACACTGGCATTCTGCAGTTGAAAGACACAAGATAAAAGTTGTACTTCGGGAATTTACATTTTTACTTCTATGGAGGGGACATCATTGCTCAAAGTATGAAACTGAATCAGATATAAACTCATAGCAAGAACATGCTACCTCTAAAGGGAGCACCCAAATATAAGCAAATATTCCCCCAAAGCCTGTTCAGTTTTGTTGCCAATTTGTCAACAGTCTGACAACAGAATAAAGATGGGCAAGGGAAAAGAGTTTATCAATTCACAGAAATGCTGTGCTATATGTGTTCTGTGTAGGAACAGTAAGTTATTGAACACCACCTGTGACCCTCAGGAAGTGTGATCCATGAAAAGTGACTACAGAATGCCAGAACTGCTTCCCAGGACTGAGAACACAACAGAAGAGGGCAGGAGAAGGGAGATTTGTCTCCAGGTAGATGCTAAATCATCTGCTCAAAAAGACTGACTGCCGACTAGCAGTTTACAATGTGAAGATATCCACACAGCTGTGAAATACAAATCTTTGCAGTGCGTATATTTCCTTAAGAAGAAAGTCTCATAAAACATGACTGTTCTATTTTTTTAAATACTCAGGAAAAAAAAGGTATTTCTATTGTTGTTCCGGGAAAAAACTAAGGACATTGTTCTTATTAAGAGAAACTGAGCTATTTTGCTTGCTCTAGTAATGCAAATTCAGGACAAAATTCCTTTCTATAAAGAGAGCCTATTAATCAAAGAAATTTTCTACTTCATTCTTTTGAAGGAAAAGATTATATACTGTATTAAATATCAAATACCTTACTGAAAAAATTTACTGGGGATATAAGATACAGTTGTAAAGCCATTGTTCCAGTAAATGTTTTATGAGAGCCATAAACCTTGGCTGAAATAAGAAGTGAGCTAAGACAGCGGTAGTGCCATAAAATAAAAAAACAAATAACAGATCGTTTTACTGTGTCTCAGTACCTTTTTTGTGCTGAGCTGTATGGGACCTTTACCATTATAAAGAGGGAGAACTAGTTTTGAAAAGGAAAACTTCAATATAAATATGATACCTTCTTTGGGTTTAACACAAATTGAATGAGCATTCCATTTGCTATTCCCATTTCTTTTCTTAGCAAGTAAATAAGCTCACTTACAGTTGAGTGACTAACAGGTAACAAGCTTGTATGTATAAGCTGAGCTGTAAAAGCTGAGATGTTGTGGCTGGGAAAAGTGAAGTAATGAATTTTAGCTTAATGCTATTCCACTGAGGTCCACCTGATTCTTCCCATGTGCCTGACAAGATAAGAGAGCACACATGTTCAGAACATAACCTATGGCACAGTTAATGCAGAGTAACATGCATTTGAATCATAGAATCATAGAATGGTCTGTGTTGGAAAGGACCTTAAAGATCATCTAATTCCAACCCCCTGCTGTGGACAGGGTTGCCAACCACTAGACCAGGCTGCCCAGGATCCCATCCAGCCTGGCCGTGAAAGCCTCTAGGGATGGGGCATCCCCAGCTTCTCTGGGCAACCTGTTCCAGTGTCTCACCACCCTCTGGGTGAAACATTTCCTCCTAATATCTGACCTAAATCTCCTCTCTCTTAGTTTAAAACCATTTCCCCTTGTCCTATCACTATCTGCCCATGTGAAAAGTCATTCTCCCTCCTGTTTATAAGCTCCCTTCAAGTACTGAAAGTCTCCCCAGAGCCTTCTCTTCTCCAAGCTAAACATGCCCAGATGTCTCAACCCTTCTTCATAAGAGAGGTGTTCCAGCCCTCTGACCATCTTTGTGGCTCTCCTCTGGACCCACTCCAACAGCTCTACATCTTCCTTGTGTTGGGGGCTCCAGGTCTGGATGCAATACTCCAGATGAGGCCTCACAAGGGCAGAGTAGAGGGGAACAATAACCTCCCTCGCCCTGCTGGCCACCCCTCTCTTGATGCAGCCCAGAAAACAGTTGGCCTTCTGAGCTGCAGTTGCACACTACTAGATCATGTCAAGCTCCTTGTCCACCAGGACTCCCAAGTCCTTCTCAGCAGGGCTGCTCTCAATGAGTTATCCCAGCCTGTACACATACCTAGGCTTGCCCCAACCCAAGGGCACAACCTTGCACTTGGCCTTGTTGAACCTCATTAGGTTCTCATGGGCCCACTTTTCAAGTCTGTCCAGGTCCCTCTGGATGGCATCCTTTCCATCTGTTGTATCAGCTGGACCAGTCAGCTTGGTGTCATTAGTAAACCTGATGAGGGTGCACTCAATCCCACTATCCAGGCCATTGATAAAGATGCTGAAGAACACCAGTTCCAAGACTGACCCACGGGGGACACGACTCATCAGCAGTCTCCACCTGGACATAAAGCTGTTTACCACAACCCCCTGTCTGTGACCATCCAACCAATTCTTTATCCATTGAACAGTCCAGCCTTCTGTGAGGAACTGCACGATGGATTTGTCTC